GGGGCTTCACGGGTTGGGCTTCGGAAATCAGTGAGAAGTGTGCCCGAATAGATGGGAAAACGTAGGTACATTATTTAAATATGCTGGTCCTTCTAATTTTGTACTAGAATCTCAGCGTAAGCAGAGGACACTACAAAAATTATCGCAGACAAAAAACAAAATCAATTCCACGAAGAGTAAGGGTGATTGCCCCGTCAAAGTCATCGAAATCAAACCGTCCAAGAATGAAACAAATCAAACTTAAGCCGTTTGCGGAATTTGTAGGAAGTGGGTGCCGAATAATACCTAGACTTAAACCCTAAGCCTTGCATTAACATTATACCCCGAAATGAACGCCAACCATAAACTCTGGCCCAAAATCATAAAACATAGCCCTAAACCACATCCTGAACCCTAACCCAACCCCATCCGCACAACTTACCCTTAAATTAGGGCTCTAAACCCTACCTAATTCCTAGTCCTAAAACCGAATCCTTAACTCTGACCCCAACGCTCGAACCCTTTTTCTATCCGCTAAAGTAGAATCCTAGCGCAATTGTGAATCACAATCATAGTAGTCCGCGAAGTATCTCAAGTTGAAAGTATCTGCAAGTAGGATTACGCCTGTGGAAATGAATAATAGTGCGAAATTGTTAAACATTGACCACCTACTGAAATCAATAATAGTAAGAAAGTGTTATCTTGTTTTCCAAGAAGGACAGAGTTACCCAGCCCTACCTGTGCCCGTTAGTGTAGGTGAAAGCTAACCGGCACACCTACAGGTGGCGGACAATGAGATGACCATCAGCGAAGGTTAGGGGAAAAACTTGCAGGCTTTCGGGTCTGGCGAATAAGCAGTCGTGAACCCGCAGCGACTATGTTACCTGGGGGCAGACGGATGAGTTCCGTCACACCGATTGCATTCTAAAATGCCGTAAAGCCCGATGATGGCACTGCGACACGGCGATCGTGAACCGCCACTAAATAAGTATTCTTGTCACTGCTGTCTTGTGGTTAGATTCTTGAGAAGAAGCGTTAGGGGTGACAACCTCGAACAAACGATCGGGCCACCTGTCGGGGACGCGCCTATACTTAAAATCCCCAGGAAACCTCATGAACATGCCAGAATACAGTATCAAGATCCATACTACAGCGTCCACGGCAACCGGCATGCTCTGCAGCCCTTGTCCAGTGCTGCGGGCAAATATCATGAGAGCTGGCCTATTCAACCAGCAACGGACCCTTATTATTGGATACGGGAATGTGAGAACGTTTCTGGACCCTGGTATTCGAAATGAGATGGCTCACAGTCTTCAAATGTAGAAAATAGACGTTTGCTGTCTATCTGAAGTCCTAATCCTCGAATAATGCGCCACGAAAATAAAGATTCCAGGTTTCAACTCCAACTTCACCCTGTACCGCAGCGATCATCACCACTTTTCTGGCAGGCATGAAGTGGCTATATAGGTTAAACACCTATATTTCCCTCAAATAAACTGAACTGAACTGAACTCTCGGAACAAGCAAATTGGGCAGAACTTGCACGGAATGATTTACGTGGTACTGAAGTCTTACTTTACGAACATCACTGTCTTGAATGTGTACGGACTAGCATAAGCTGTCGAACAGCCATCGGCGGAGGTAACCGTTGTGAGCGGAGTTCCCCAAGGTTACGTCCTTGTTCCTATCCTCTTTCTCGTACATCCGTGAGTTAGACTGCGACTTTGGCATGTTAGCTGCTGACATAAAGCCTAAGAGCGTCATCCGCAACGAAGACGATGAAGCACATCTACAGGCAAGCTTCAACCGAATCGAGCAGTGGTCAAACCAGTGGCCCCTCCTGTTCAGAGTTACAAAATGCGACATTCTGCGAATTGGCAGAACCAATTCTGCGCACCGGAGGACGTACTCTCTAAATCACACACGGCTACTGAATTAGAGGTTCAAAAGAGTCTATGTGCGTGAATAAAAACCTCGCTAAGGCCATTACTACGTTTGAGAAGATGAAGATGCGATCACTGGGACATGTCCCAGTGATCGCATCTTCATCTTCTCAACTGCTACCTGGGACTCGCCTGTTCGTTTCTATCAGCAATTACTACGTTTCTTGAAAGCAGCCAAATCCGTAATGTCCAGCTTATATCTCATCAAGTGCGCATTTGCGAAGTTGAAAGAAGCGTGCTTTGATAAGGTTTTCGGGATGTTCGTGCAGTCACAGTTGAAATTTTTCATTCAGGTCTGGAGACCCTGGTCTGTCATGGTCTAAACCACGCTCGAAAATGTCCAATGACAGGAAACCAAGCTTGTCAGAGGTTAAAACAACCTTCTTTGTGAAACTCGACTGTTCACTCTCGACATCTTTTCTCCTAACTACAAACAGCTACGTGACGTTTTAATTCTCATGCTGTGGGTTCAGGACTTTTAACTCGAACAGAGTGACTCCTCCGAGCCCGGTTGCCCCTACTAATTTAAGCGGAAATCATTTTAAACTACGTCTGACGGGTGCACAGATGGACGCACGGAAATTCTTCAGCCATAGGATGATTAAGTCATGAAATTCTTTGTTTATGGACGCCATCATATCCTCATCCGTGAACCCATTGATCGGGAAGCTTGATCAATAGATGGATATGTATCACCACCCCATCAGAAAATAGCAGATTTCTCCCTTTGTGCCATCCTTCCAAAAGATATGAGTTAAAAACACGCTACTCCATATATTTCAGTAAAACTTTCTTTGTGTCTTTTACGTTAAATGCCGTCATCGGACGTCTTCATGCGACCTAACGGAGTGTGGCTATGGTATAAGCGTTAATTGACACATTACTCGGACCATTTCAGCTGCGCGTTCTGATTGGTTCACATTTTCGACACGACCGTTTAACCATCGCTGCCGACGATGCCCACCGTATGCTTCACAGCAAGTCGAAACGGACACGATAACTTACGCGTGATTTAGTTTATGGTGAATGTAGACTTGTGCGCCACCTCCTCCTCCTCCTCCTCCCCCTCCTCCTCCTCCTCCTCTTCCTCCTCACCCACCTGGATCTGGTTTCAAGACAGAGTCAAGGAAACCGGAGGCGGGCGAGGGCACGTGTGGCTAGCACGGTCGAGCCACTCCACACGCCCTGATTCACACAGCAAATGACCAGGATTTTAACCAACAGCAAAAGTGTGGCTGGCACGGTCGAAGCCGCGCCTAGGTGTGCCGTCACACCTGGCCCGGCTCCCACGGAGTGGGAGTGCCATAAAGGCCGCATAAAGGAGGAGCCATTGCAGCCTGACTCTTGGACCACCAATCGACGCTCCACACACAACACTGGGCCCACTGCGAGGTTCAAGTTATCCCGTCAATTGGCAACCTTCCAAGCCCCGGTTTTAAACGCACCATGATAGCTTCAAGCGCTTCAGGTTGATAATAGTGAGGAAAATGCTTTGAGTCGTCGACCTCACTCTCCCTTCCCATTCCCAGACACCAGTCACTGTCCAAGACGGTGAGTTGACACGCGCGGGGAATGGGCGCGGTGGCTGACACATCTAGTTACCCTGACAATCTGGCCCCCGAACACAAGCATTAGAATTTACATAACGGTGGTTGAGTGGCGTACATCTCACATGCGTGAGATTGCCATAGGTCACGTTTAAATGGAGCCGTTTCATTCTAGCCCTCAACCCCCCAGTCCTCCACTCCACACAGACATTCACAATTGGCAGACTGCGTCGACTGATTTGGGGCGTCAGTCAGCAGTCTTCCAAGTCACAAGACTTGGCGTGTCGAGGTAGCCTCAGACTCGAATTACACATGCAACATAGAAGCTGCATGGAGACGAAGACGAGACACACACTTCCCATTTGCATGGTAGGTGGCTATTGGATGCATGCGGCGGATGATGAGGTTGTGTGATGCAGGTGAAGGAAGATGTGATGCTGTGGTTTGACCGGCGGCCGTCTACGTCGGCTTTTCGTGAATTCGCATGTGGCCTAACAGGCCCATGTGGTGGGTTAGTGTGCGGGAGCAGTGAGGGCAGTTGAGGCAGATGTTGCGAGTGTAAGTGGGTGCCCCAGGCACTGGTCCACCAGTCTCTGTACGATTGACCCGCAAGTGACCGGCCATGCGGTTGCAATGGGGACATGTATGGGTCAAGTCGGGGTTGTTGGTGGGGGTTAATGTTTGTTGGTATGTCAGGATCATGTGCAGTGGTGGTGGATACAGGAGCCGCCGAAGTGGAAGTTGAGGCAATGGAGGAGGATGGTAGTGAGGGTTTGGGAGTGCGCAAAATGTTAGTTGTCGGTGTGGAGGATGTGGCAGAGTTGGACGAGGAGACAGCAGATGGTGTAGTTCGGGTGCCCCTGTTAGTACGAATATGTCCTTGAAGGTTGATTGGTGCCCCGAACGTCCGTTGGCAGCGCAGGCGGGTCGGGGGTGGTTGAGTGTTGGCGTTGCGATGTGGACGCAGTTGGGATTTGCGAGCCTCATTTTTGACTTTGACGAGGACGATGCAATTGGCTTCAAAGATTGCAGCGCCTGTCTTCACTGTCCTCCTCCAGATCGGTCGGTCGGTCTCGGGCGAGGTTTACCCAGTTGGCCAAGTTGATCTGCAGACGCTTCAGGGAAGTCTTCAGAGTGTCCTTGTATCGACGGAGTTGGTTTCCTTATCGGCGGGAATTCTTGGCGACACCTCCATAAGAGTCATTTGGGTAGCCGCTCTTCGTCCATGCGCACGAGATGGCTGCTCCAACGCAGTTGCAGCTGGCTCAGCATGGCGTAGATACTGGAGATTCCTGTCAACTTCAGTACATCCATGTCCGGGATCCGGTCCTGCGATCTCAGCTTCAGTATCCGTTGAAGACAGATGAGGTGGAAATGAGTGAGTCTTCGCACCCGCATTTTGTATATCATCCAGTTCTCCGCTCCATACGACAGCGTCGGCGGGTTGACCGCCCTGTACATCATCAGCTTGGTGTTCAAGTGAAGACCATGACGATTCCAGACTGTGCTGTGAAGACGGCCGAAGGCTTGGCTAGCTTTGGGGATCGGGCTGGCGAGAGAAAGTGCTGCCCAGATAGGTGAAGTTGTCCACGAACTGCAGTTGGACATCGTTCGTGTTGATTTTGGGTGCGACGTAAGCAGCGTCGGGTGGTAATAGATGCATAACCACCGTTTTGTCCGTGTTGATGACCAGGCCGAAGTTGTTGCAGCTGGCGGCGAAGAGTTTCATGCTCATTTGCATGTCCCCTTCCGAGGTGGCGTTGAGGGCGCAGTCGTCTGGGAAGAGAAGTTTATGGACGATAGTTATGAATACACACGACTGGAAGTGCATCTGTTGGTGGTTGAGGAGTTAGTCGTCTGTCCTGTAGGTGATGCGGATCCCAGGGCGTTCGTCACGGTAGGCGTCCATCAACAATGCAGAAGACATAGGATTGATGAGGGTAGGCCCAAGCGCGCAGCCCTGCTTCACTCCGTTAGTCACTGCGAATGCCTCTGAGACAGCTCCGTTGTCCGTGACTCGCGCCATCATACCATCGTGCAGCGGACGCACCATCTGCATAAATCGGTCGGGACAGCCAAATTCCTGCATGATCTTCCACAGTCCTTCACGATTCATCGCGTCAAAGGCCTTTGTTGGATCCACGAAGGCAGAGTACAGGTGGGTCCGCATCTCCTGGCATTTCTCTTGAAGTTGGTGGACGGCGAAGATCATGTCCGTGGTCCCACGATGACGGCGGAAGTCGCGCTGGCTTTTCGGCAGGGGAATACGAGCGAAGATATTCCCGGCAAGGCTCAGCAAGGAGGTGTCACGGTGATTGTGGCAGAGTTAGCGGTTCCGTTTTGGCTTGTATAGATGCACGATTGTTGCGTCTTTGAAATCTTGCGGGACTTCACCTTGACGCCACATATCCTGGAAGCACGACGTCAGATGATCCATGAGTTAGGGGCCATCACGCTTGTATATGTCAGCAGAGAGCGCGTTCGATCCAGGCGTTTTCCTACTGGTGAGCTGCTGCACGAGTCTAATGGTTTGGTGAAGAGAGGGCTGGATGTCGAGGTCAACCTTGGTCTTCACTTGAGGCAGACGGGCGATGGTGGCGTGGAAGATGGTGGAGGGCAGTTGAGGACGCTGCCGAAGTGCTCGGCTCATCGCCGAAGAAGTTTTGTTTTCCCGGTGAGTAGAGTACTGCCGTAGGCCCTGAGAAGAAGAGCAGTTGCTTTGGTTGGTGAACCGTAGACAGCCTTGATCGCAGAGAAGAAATTCTTCCATCCGTTGTTATCCGCATAACCTTGGATCTCATGGGTCTTGCGAACCGTCTAAGCGTCCTGAATCTCCCGCAGCTTCTGTTGCACAACATGTATACACTGACACATTTACGCAAGTGCTACGTGCTTGTAGTCATTTACCTACTCTTCTTTCTAACTTGTCTAACGTATTGTGTTTTCTAAACGTTGTCGCTGCCAATAGGAAGTTCGAAGGTGTTCACCCACCCTTCCTTTAATAAAACTGAGCTGAACTGAAAAAGACCTACTCGCAATTGCAGTAGTTAGTTGAAAGACTCCTTGGTCGTGATCCGCTGATTGTTGTTGGGGACTGGACTGTCCACACACGACCCGGCGATTCTTCAGTCACCTTACTGGCCGTTTTAGACTTGGCTTTCGATGTGAAAATGGTAAGGGAAGGTTGAATTTTGTTGATCAGAAACGACTATTTATCATCATCACGTCTTTCCGGCACCACTACAGGCGCCTTCTGACCTAGTATTCAGACGGCGGCTATAAGAATAGTCAGATCTACTACATACTAATTGGTTCATGGTTCTGCAGCTGAGTTCACGATAGTAGATCTATGAGTGGTGCCGAAACTAGCAATGTTCATGGTCTGACCATATTCTTGCTCGCACACGCCTGAAAGACTTCATTATATCTGCACCCAAAATGCCACGTGCGGGACGCCCAGATGTCGCAAATCTTCAACCACCCAGAAATACCGAGGCGCTGTGCTCAGAAATCCGGTCCCTTTTAACGAACTGAACCAACAAAGAAGACATTAATCAATGGGAGATATGAGAAAATCCTAGGCTTTACTCAACAACGTCGCAATGAGTGGATTCACGAGAGAACCCTTTAGTTGTCTGTCTTGCTGACTCGAGCCAGGTACCGCAACGATGCTTCTTTCCGCCAGCTTCGGAAGATGACAGCAAAGTCGGCTAGAGATAACGGACAGAAATATTGGGACTGAAACGGCGACTTCTGCGGAACTGACCTGAACTTTTGATGGCATTCAAATCTCCCCCAAATTACCCGCTAAGCTAACCGTGAGTCCACGACACTTTGTGACTCTGTTCGCGTTGTAGACAGCGGCTTTATTTCTGACAACTCGACCAAGGTCGATGGCTGGCATGAGCATCTGGACCATCTTCTCAACTTTAATGAGTAACCCATCTCCTCTGTTGCGGAGGTTTGTCCGCAATTTGAATGTGTGGCCGGATCTCGTCAAATGAGTCGCAACTTGAGAGCTGGCGTCATTTCTCCGCACCGCTGCAGTGTGCTCGGCCATTCGCGTTCGGAGTTGTCTTCCGGTTTCTCCGACGTATTTACTCTGTCCGCAACTTCACCAGATCCGATAAACGACTCCAGACGTTTCTTGCCATGGCAGCGGGCTTTTTGGTTTCATTACCTGATACCTGATTGTTGCCTCCCGTCTGTGTGCAAATCCAACCCCAAGTGGTGCGAGAAGGCGGCCGACAGCTACCAAAACGTTCTTGACATACGGAAGCGCTCGTCACCCATACCTGTTTTTGTCTTTGATGATGGATTCGAGCAAGAATCCGAAACGTCATGCTAACAAAGCTCTTGTCCCAGCGTTCGTGTGTTCTTCTTCATGAGTAGGAGTGTCACAGAGTCCATAGTAAGAAGGAGACATAGTAGCCTGACTCTTCATCCTAAAAGGACCGAGTTCTCCTGTCGGCTGGCAGCTGCCCGAGCGACGGCATTTGGCCTACTGTGATAGTTTGACAGTGCCTCAGTTTGTTTATAAGGAGTGCCGTGATCGCGCAGTTTTTCACAGTCAAGCTCTTTCTCGTGCTCTTCTCACGCGGCCATTCCACTGAATGAGTCGATCAGTCATTTGCTGCGGGAAATGGGCGTAAGTGGCTGACAGTACGGAACAAGCCGTCTACGTATGCCACACACGACCTCTCCCTCCATGCGAGACACAGGGTTCGCGCATGAAGTAGAATGGCGGCACGGATCAAACATGCGTACCGTAGGGACATTTTAAGAAGGAACCCTCCGGCATGAATCATCTTCCTCCATTTGACTGCTCCACACAAAGTCGACTGTGTGGTCTGAGTTGTACCGTCAGCAGACAATCTTCAAACTCTCTCGGCGCTTAGTCCGTAGTGGTAGAGCCACGCATGAGAGCTGAGTGCCAGTTAAGGGTCGTGCGAGGCGACTATCACCTGCCTGAGGTACGAAGTGAGACCTACCACTGTAGGTGAACAGTTCTACACCCCCTCACTGATCATAGTAAATATGCAGTTTAAAATTCCGCGCACAACACAGCCGTGACGTTGCGAAGGCCCACGGCACACTGCTGCGAACCCCCTTTGCTTTATTGAAATGGACATGTGAAAAACAAGCTTGACCTTTTTCGAAACATTCGTCAGTGTCTTCTGGACGGAAACTGGCTTCTGAATGCGCACATATGCTCCGGAAATTCACGGTTGGCTCATATCAACAGCGTGCAGTAGCTACTGTGTATACTTAATACCTGACACCATTCCTTGTTCGTTCGTGCTTTTAGATTCGAGGTCATTCCTCAGAACTCGTTGCTTTTCAAGATCTGGAAGGTCAAATGCACCAAGGGATTTCTTGAAGAGCTACATCGATGAGATCAAAGTGATCCTATCAGATGACATAATGATTCCTCATGTGAACGAAATTATGCAAGCTTTGCTCTCAAGTGCCGTTTCTGCGATTTCCCTGATCAGTGTTCTAGGGATGCATCCATTGGAAAGGGGCTATCCGAACGAAGTCTCAATTTGCCTCTAAGTGACGTCAAATCATTTCTAATTAAAAGTCAGATAATGGGAATAGAGACATGTGACCTTTCAAAGAATTTCTCCTCGACAGGGTTGGCTAATTCAGGCTGGGTCATAAACATGTCGTCTGCCTAAACATTATTCGGAGAGTGTTTTCGACTTTCCAGTGCTTCTTTTTTTCGCAAATTGTTTGCTACTTTTATGGTGAGATACATTGCAAATGGGTCGTATGTTATTCAAAATCCAAAAATATTGCCCAAGAAGTATGTCTGTAAGTGCATCATTGCCAGAAGCGCAGCGGCTATTTTGGATTCATAATACTCGGCCGATCTGGAAATACCGGCCTTGACGCTTAATCTCTTGCTTAAATAGTGCTTGTTAATTGCTTCACAAATTCAGGGTTCTGATGAGGGGGCCCAGGTCGTTCGTTTCGTACCTCTTTATAAAATTGCCTTATGCAGAAGATCCTCTTATCGGTCCAGCAATTTATTTACAGTGTGCCTCCTATGAAGCATTTTAAATAAATGCCATCGTTGGAAGCTCTCAGTAGCATGGGTGACGTGAAAGCCTGCGATCGACGAAAAGAGGAATATGCCGGCAACCGCACCGTTTCTCAAGGTTGGAACCGGACTAATAGGGTCAGACATCTAATACATACTCCAAAGGAAACATTCCAGTACAAATACGCAAAGGAGCTTATATTTCCTGTTAGGAAATACGTCACGATCATAGGCGTGACTAGATGAGCCCGGCAAACCCTCGGCTGCCGGGCATGAAAAAGATGCCTTTATGGACAACAGGCATCGAAAGCGAGCACAATGGAAGAGAATAAATCTGCACATCCACACTGTAGCACCAGTAAAACACTGGTAACATGGGCGGAATGAAGTTACCAACAAAGACAAGAGTAGTGCTATGTCGCCTGCAATACCAAGCTCTGAAGGGGGTGAGGGACTCTAGATTGAGCCACGGGGATTAACGGGACGAATTTATCCCATAACGCGATTGGTGAGCGTCCCTCTACCATTGTTTATGTACTCAATCGTAGTCAACTGGATAATGGGCCATGTGCTCGACTCTCAGGGGTTTGAAAACATCTAAGTCTGTGTATGGCTGGCCGATGATTTGCGTTTACCTTTGGAACCCGAACCCCAAGGTTTTGTCTTTTAGCCCATTGGTCACTTAAACTTTATCTCATAACAGCAAGACTGACGAATACAGGCAAGGAAAGACAAAGCGAGTTGTGACCGTTATCAAAGTAACAACGAATTATGCTCTTTCTTTGGCAGGGAAACGTGAATAGCTTGCTAATATAGGTCGTCCTTCAGTGTGTTGCAAATGTTCCTGGCTTTGTCCTGACAGCGGGTATTTTAAGTGACAATATGCAGATTAAAGTTGAGTCATTTTCGTTTACTTTACATGGCAAACTCAGTCTGCAAATATAAGTAGCCGTTTTTAATTATTGAGTGGTGCTCATAAAATGGAAAATTCCCAGTGGAATCTAATTCTTTATCATGTCTTACTATCATATTAACAGTTGAGCCGATTTCGTAACTAATTTTACGACAGAACTCATCAGCAGAACCATCTCTCTCTGGCCAGATGGTTGATACTAGGACCTTAGCTCTCACCTTCAAGTCAGAGGGGAACCTAGATACCTTGATTTTTAACCAGGTCAGATCTATTACCTCCAAATCCGCGAGCATTGGACTTCTTATAATCACAATCGGCATAGCGTCGGTCTCTAGATCATTGATGAGCACAGGTTTTCCTGATTTAAGCTTAGGCAGTGCCTAGCAGAACAAACCAACTTACGCCTGTGTCGAAGTCCAAGTCCACTTTCTATTTGCGGGCAAATTGCACGACGTAAAAACGCATGCTTTTCATTTTAAGGGGTTTCAAAAATGACACAGCACGCCAATGTCTAGCGAATGGTTCTAGATTAACGAACGGAGAGATATGGAGGCGAATATGATGCCATATTCATGCAGTTATGCATGAACACGCTCATGGTGTACTAAAAGCAATACGATATGGACATTACCGTCCACCAGACACATTGGCTAAAAAGAATATCCCCAGTCAATAAGGCAGATACACAATCAGATAAAATTTTTGGTCAGATGTGGTTATATAGCAGCATCTGATGTGAACAAAACCCAGCTACTTGTAATACGGGACCAGTAGTAATAGGGGTTGTTACAGATGGGGCCGGGGAACGGAC